AGCACCCTCAAATGATTTAATAGCTCCTGGTATCGATAAGTATATATATGAACTAAATACACTAACAGATAGAGCATAATTTTAGAAACTTAACAAAATTGGTTTCACAATTTTTAGATACCTACATGATTCTATATGATTTACCAAAGATCGGCTCAGAAATACAAATAAGAAGCTATTTCTATTCTCCATGAAAAAGCTAAACTGATTTTAGCCCAACGCGGCCCACGCGGCGCAACGCGTGCATGCGTGAGCACGGCGGCGGGCAAAGCTCCAAAATTAGAGCTCGGCATGATGCGAGTCAAGGCGGGGTGGGGTCAGCTGGAGAGGGGGCATGAAGGCAGAGATGCGAGCACGAGGAATTGATGAGAGTTGCTCGCTCTCAGGCTTCACCGTGACGCGATACGATGGCGGCGGGAAACAGAGGGGGAAAGAGAAAAGAGAGAGGCGACACGGTAGTGGGCTCGACATCGTCCTTGCCTTGGTGGGACACGAGCGGCGGGACCGGGGGCCCACGCGCCGTGCTATGGACAACGAGTGCCCACGCCCGACCGATGTGGCATGCGCGCCGTAGTGCCATAAATGGCATGGCGAAGGTGGCTCGCCCATGTGCACGCGGCAGGGAGACACACACATGGTTGGCAATAGCGCAGAGGTGCAGCGGATCAGCGTGGACACGGCAATGACATGACGGCAGTGGCAGCGTCGCGACGCGAGTAGCGTCGGCAACGCGGACGCGATGGCAGCGCAGCGTGGCTGCGACGGCACTCAAGACGGCAGCAGCGAGGTAGGGCAATGGGCATAGGAGGGGGTTTGTAGCCCACTGCGACCGGCCTCAGCCAAGCCAAGCTGGCTCGACCGACCCAACATGACGGCGCGGCGCGCGAGACGCGAGGCGAGAGGGTGGACGCGACAATGAAGCCAGCGGCAGTGGGGGATGGGCAAAGCGGCATCGCATCGCGGCTTCGCATCACGGGCGATGGCGGCGAGCCTGGCCGAGCCAGAGGAGGGCCATATGGCGACCATACGTACACACGCGCAACCATGTGCGCGCGTGGGTGGCCACGTGGTGACCGCGCCCACGGTGACAGTGACAAGCATAAATTTTAAAGCGTTCGAGATGTCTAAATCATTGATCCAATCCCCAAACCACTTTTGCTATACCTTAGAGGGTACATTAAGCTACTAAAACAAGCCATAATACTGCCCTACTCCTTAACATAATCTCTCACAATTAATTGCCAAACATAGCAGTGTCTAACTGTTGACAGACTTGAAAAATTCTAAGTCTTTGAGCTGAATTTGGTTTCCAATTGCGATTTCTAAGCTAGTGGAAATATTAGCTAGTAATACCATTTTTCGACCGCAAGTATTTCATTATCATCTATAAAGTTTGTACTTCAAAGTTTATTTAAGTATCACATATATGTTTTATATCATTTTTGCTTAATAAAAATTGGTTTTAAACCCTAAGTGATATAACATGACTATCGAATCAACTTTCGTTTCGCATTTCGGTTGACCGTTTTGAGTTACGGAAATTGATCTACACACTTTATTACATGCATTAACACATTAACATGATGCTCATGGCATGTTTTAGTAAATGATTTATAGTGTAACACCGAGGGTGTTACAAATCTACCCCCTAAACAAAATCTCGTCCCGAAGATTTCATGTGCCTAGTGTGGAAAAAGAGATAAAAAATAAATTCTAATTTAAACAATTACCTCGGTGAACTAGAAACAAGGTGGGGATAATGCTTCAAGATATAGCTTTCTTGCTCCCACATTGCTTCGTCCTCCGAGTGATTTTGCCACTGAACTTTATAAAACTTTACCACACTGTTTCTAGTCACTGTTTCTTTTTCGTCTAAGATCTTGATAGGATGTTCAATATAAGACAAGTCGGGTTGGAGGTGATGTCCTTCAATTTCCATAGCTTCATCGGGGACCCACAAACATTTCTTTAACTAGAAAACATGGAAGACATCATGCACTACTGACGAAATATCCGGGAGCTGGAGACGATAAGCAATATGACCACATCGCTCCAAAACCATATAAGGCCCAACTTAGCGAGGGGCTAGCTTCCCACGGACACCAAATTGATGTACACCTCTCTTGGGAGATACCTTGAGATACACATGATCACCAACTTCAAATTGCAAGGGCCTTCTTCGCTTGTCCGTATAAGTTTTCTAACGACTTTGAGCTACCTTCAAATAGCTCTGAATAATACTGACTTGCTCTCGAGCTTCTTTGATAAAATCAGGCCCAAAATATCCACGGTCACCTACTTCAACCCAGTTAAGTGGTGTCCTACATTTCTTTCCATACAGAGCTTCATAGGGTGCCATATGAATGCTTTCTTGATAGCTATTGTTGTAAGAAAATTCAGCTAAGTTCAAGCATTCGTCCCACTTCTTAGGAAAAGAGATGACATAAGCCTTCAACATATCTTCAAGTACCTGATTAACTCTTTCTGTCTGACCGTCAGTTTACGGATGATAAGCTAAACTTCTGAGGAGACTAGTACCAAGACATTCCTGAAGTTGCTCCCAGAAACGAGAGACAAAGACTGATCCTCTATCAGAGAAGATAGTAAGAGGAACTCCATGCAGGGTCACAATTCGGTCAAAATACAACTTGCCATACTTGGCTGAATATCTGGTATCCACCGGGAGAAAATGAACGGACTTGGGCTACCACGTAGGCATAGGAACGCGTTTGGTTGGTGGAGGTGGTGGCGAGAGGGCGATGTGGATGTCGTAGGTGAAGCCGGTTGACCACATCTCCGCGCCGGCAGCTGCGGTTGGGGAGCGGAGGGACGCAACGACGCGCGGCCATGGAGCCACCGCCTCCGTTCCATGGCAGCGTGAGCAGGGCCAGCGGCGTCGGTGGTGGTGGTGGCAGCAACGTCACCGGCGGTCTCGGCAGCGTTGACGGCATCGGCAGCAACAACGGTATCGGTGGCGTCCCCGATGGCGCCCCCATGCGCCTCATGAACATGGCTAGGCCATGCGGTGGCCCGATGTCGGGGGCGAACTGCAGCGGGGACGACAGCCGTGGCGATGAATGACGGCCACTACTCCCTCCAGTGTGGACTCCATGGAAGCGGCGAGAGGGATGCGGTGGTCGGAGATGTCCCGGAGGGCTCGATGGACGGCGCCCTACAGCATGGTTGCCGCGGGCGATGACGTTCTCCATGGCGTTGGTGATGGAATCGACCATCGCATTCATGGAAGATACAGGAGTCGTCATGTTGTACCTTTGGATGCAGCGACGCCGGTGATGCCTTCTCCGGCGATCTCTCTCCTTTCCCTTCTCCTATTCGCGTCAGTGGTGAGAGAGCGTGTCTGATAACATATTACGAGTGAAAAGTGTTGGATGAAAAAATGACCGATGTCTATTGATGATGAAAAATGTACAGGTATATATTATAAGTCAAATGATAGTTGCCTGTTGGCCAAAATGTGTCTCTACGGGATCCAAAAGGTGCCTCTATAGGAACCATCATCAGTAGTTGCTAATGACAGGATTAACTATCTAATTAACTAATTGATCACAAAATTATTAATCTTAACAGTTGTTATATTTTATTAAAAAGAATCCAAAATGCTTCGTACTATTTTATTTTATTTTTTAGAGGGTACTATTTTAGTTTTTTTGTAGAGGGTACTATTTTAGTTATTCTAGCTACAAATCAAGACAGTAGTACGCGACAAAATATTGGTTATAGCACTATTTATCGATTTCGACAATTGAAATTGGTCCACAGGTAAAAAGGTAGGCGAAACCCCCTTTTTCTTCTCCCTGCGGATTGGTGCAAAAAAAAAACTAAAAAGCTGTATCGAAAACCCGTTGAATTCCTCCCCGTTGTATCCGAGCTGTTTCCATCCACCTCTCCCCGTGCCTGTGCTGCGTCTGACGTGTCACTGTTCGCTTTGACACGCTTGACCCGTGGGAAGCAGCCAGCCAGCAGCTCCCGCCCGCGTCGCATGCGACAGACAAGCCGACGACCAGTCAACCCCACCCTCAGTGGCACAACCGTAAATCCACCTCCCCATCTGCCGTAACAATAAACAGCGCTTAATTAATCAATTAATTAATTAGCCCGCGTGACGCCAAGCGCCTTTTCCGTTCCCGGTTCTGCCCCCGGGTTCACGCCTTCATGGTACGGCGCCAAGAAACGGGCATCTCTCGGTCTCGGGTTCCCGCATTAAAAACCAAGGCACGTGGGCCCCGCGCGCCCCGCTCTTAAACCGCGACAATTTCGGCCCCCGTTTCTTTACTGCGGGGCGGGGGTGGCTAAATAATTTAATATTCCCCCGATAACCTAATTTATTTCATTTTTTTAATCCCGCAATTTCGCCCCAGCGCGGCGGCACCCCTCCCCTGCCTTTTTTGCTTTTATTTAGTTTTGGCTTTTTATTTCACTCGGCCCCCATTTCCGCCGCCCCCTTTTGCTCCCCCCTCTCGCCTCGCGACCTCCGCTTCGTCCGCCTCCTCCTCCCGCTGCTGCTCCTGGTTTATTTGGCGATTTGTTTTCGCTGGTGCACGGATTTTTCGAGGAATATTTCGGGATTTTTGGGGGATTTTTTTGTGGGGGGAAATTTTTCTTTTCTTTTTTTTGGGAGGCGCCCGGGTGCTGCTAAAGGAGGGGAGATGGGGAGAGTGTGCGTGAGCTCCAATGGCGACTGCTCGTGGCGGGAAGCTTAGTAGGAGGAGGACGACTACGAGCAGGCGGGCGCGTGCGTGGTGCTGCGTGCATGGAGGCCAAGCCGGGGGAAGCGAGTGCCGCGCCTGCTCCTGCTTCTGCGCCTCCGCCTATGGCTACTGCGTGCATGGCTGCGTGCGGCGGTGGCAGCACCAGTTACTGCGGCGGCGCCAACAGAGGCGACGGTGAGCTTTCAGCAGCCTGCGCCGGCGGCGGAGAGGGGTAGCTCGAGCGCCGTGCTGGTGCCGCCTCTGGCTACGGCGGCGGGAGGAGGCGGCACGATGGCGCTCGGGCCGGTGCTGATGAAGGTGCCGAAGAAGCGCGGGAGGCCGCGCAAGTACGGGCCGGACGGGAGCCTGATCCGCCCGCTCAACGCCACGCCGATCTCGGCGTCCGCGCCCATGCCCACCGCCGTGGTGCCGGGGCAGTACACGCCGGCCTCCGCGGTGGGCGCCGCCATGAAGCGCGGCAGGGGACGGCCCCTCGACTTCGCCGCCGCCGCCGCCAAGCAGCACCAGCAGCTCCACCACCACCAACACCAGCAGCAGCAGCAGTTCGGCTTCCACTTCAACTCCATAGGTACGAGTACTTCCAAATCTCTCGCTCGCATCGCATTCATTTCCCCTCTATTTTTTTCCTCCTACTAGATACATAGTAGATTAATTAAACCCTCAAAAATCTATTTTTTTTTTGGGATAATCATAATCCACATCCTATTCCAGAGATAAGGATTGGATTTTCTCTCTCGCTTTTTTTCCCGACAAATTCCTCGACTAGAGGAGAATGGATGGATGAGCGGCGGGGGAGGGGCCAATGGCAGGAGTGAGTAGTAATTGGGTGGCGGCGTCACCCGCTCACTCCTTGTCATGACACTCTGTCTGTGTCTGTCCCTCTCTTATCAGAATATTTCTTGTCTCCTCCACTCTACGCAGCTCGTGCTGCACTGCATGATCAGATACTACTAGTTCGCATGGTCAGGGACCTCAGGCAGGCAGGCTCATGCGGCTGGTTGATGCGCTGGGTTCCAAGATTCGTGGCTCGGCCGGGGAGCAAAGTGGGGGCCAGATGGAGGCATATCCTCCTGTCTGAATCCGACCCCCGTTTTGTTGGTTGCTCTCAGGGCTTCTTGTTGTTCTGTGGTGGGGTTCTTCCCCCGTTGTGGGGATGCTTGCCATGGTGGTGCTGCCGTGCTTGTGGTTAACAGTCCAGTCCTGGAACAAAGCATGGGAGATACAAATCATTTGAAGATCCTCCTTGTTAGGTTCTACCGTGGTGCCTGCCCTTTTGTCATCCTTGTGTCTAGGGTCTCTGGTAGGTCTGAAGGTGATGGTCTGATGGATATGTTCAGACATATCTGTTTTTCATGGTAGGTGGTGACAGTATGACTGGACTGAGAATGTAGAGTGAATGCTTGGGGGTACTAGAATACGGTGGTAAAAGTTTGTATGGCTGGACTGAACATTCACAGTGAATGAAATATTTATGGGATTCTGTACTTCTAGAAGTGAAAATCATCTTTTGTTGTCGCAATTGCGTAGCTAGACGCTAATCTTTCTCGTGATGTTGCACAGACCTCATTTCTTGATGGGTTCACTATCATAGATTCGTAATATAGTGAACTATCTTTTTCGAGCAAAATGGCACTTTGTAGTCCTTTCATTTGGTCAGTTTGTTCTGCTGTAATCTGTCATTACTTTCTTAACCACGCTATGTGCTGGCAGGTGACATGGTGGCATGTTCTGCTGGTGCTAATTTCACTCCGCATATAATTACCGTCGCTCCTGGTGAGGTATGGATCTAGATGTTATCGATGTGTACAGCTGCCGTTTACACTTCATCTCATTTGGTGATTTCTGGTTCAGACTGTTTCTGAGTTCTGACCAGACAGTCAGTATATGTACCCTCATCATCTTTCTTACCTGAAATATCATTTTTCTGGATCTTCAGTTATAACACTTTTTCCCTTCAAATTTTGATTTGATCACCTATATCATTTTATATGTGTTCACACATTTTTGTTTCATATATAATCACTTACAAGTGATGTGATGAGCACAGAGATCAAAGGACTGCACACTCTGTATTATATGCTTTGCTTTTACATGATAACCAAAGCAAGTCATGATCTCAAAATGCTCTTATTTCAGTATTCCTTTCCATTCCTTTATCAGATAAGGAGAGGTGAACACATCTTATTTTGCATCCCTGTTGAATTTATCAAAGATTGAAATGAATTCTGCCTTTATTTTCCCTGTTGAATTCCTGCTCCACTTATGGTTATAGCTATACTATTCCTTTTCCTGAAGTGGTCTGTATCTTTGTGTGAAAGAGTGATCTGTATTTTCTCTGTTGGTTCAGGATGTGACGATGAAGGTTATATCATTTTCCCAACAAGGACCACGAGCCATCTGTATTCTCTCAGCAAACGGTGTGATATCGAACGTTACACTTCGTCAGCCTGATTCCTCTGGTGGCACGTTAACTTATGAGGTTAGCCATGGATGACACTTTTACTCCCTTCATGGATTGACACACAAAAGTTCTTACTGCACGCATGGTTTCATATGTATGTCTGTGTGGATGCAGACAAAGGATTCTGAGTGGTCCTACTTAACCCCATCTATCTGATGCCCTGTTTTGGTTGTAGGGACGCTTTGAGTTGCTGTCCTTGTCTGGGTCCTTTATGCCCACTGAAAACAGCGGAACACGAAATCGATCAGGTGGGATGAGCGTGTCTCTTGCGAGCCCAGACGGCCGTGTTGTCGGTGGCGGAGTTGCCGGCCTGCTGGTGGCAGCAAGTCCTGTTCAGGTATGCGTTTGCTCGCCCGCTTTTCAAGATCTGAATGCCTGCCTATTAGTATAAAGCTCAATTGTACAGCTGATCTAGCAAAACTGCATGCCCCGTGCGCAGTCTATTGCCAGAATTGTTCCATCTATCCTTCTAATAACTATAGTCTGTCTGTTGCCTAAATAAGCTCAAAGTGTAACTGACAGTCAAGAGTCCGTTTCGCAGATTGTGGTTGGGAGCTTCCTGCCAAGCTACCAGATGGAGCAGAAGAACAAGAAGCCGCGGGTGGACGCGGCGCCCACCACCGTCCCGCAAACGCCTCCCGCGGTCCCGATCTCAAGCGCGGACACCCACAGCAGCGAGCAAGGGCAGCAGAGCTCCGCGGCCCAGAGAGGGATGACCTCAGGAGGAGCCTATGGTGCGGACCAGAGCTGGGCATCCCCTGTGCAGCAGCCGATGGCTGAGGTGTCCAGGACGCCATCGTCAGGGGACCTGAAGATGACCGCGTCCGGATCATGAGCACTCTGAAACCCAGCCGGAGCTAGCCACACACTGACTGGGAGCCAAGGTCCCCGCCGGAAGATGGATCATGGAAGGATGGATGGATTGGTTCATTTGTTCCTGACTTGTGAAAGATGTGTCTACTGCAGATCTCGCACTAGGGCGGCCTAATTGTTGCTGTATGATGAGGCAGGCAGGAGGAGAGGACTAACAACTGCATTTGCTGTAGCCGTGTGACCTTAGTGTTGTACCCCCCCCCCCTACCTGGTAGGGTTTTGTAACACCCATTGTCGGAGAGTGTGCGTGTGTGTAGTAGGTATTACCACCACAGTTCTAGTGTGCTAGCGGCGTGTGTTATTTAGGCGACCTTGTCGATTAATTCTTGTGTTGGATTATTACCTTACCTTACGTACGTGCTGGATTAGTTGGTACCCTGTATCTGTATTGGATCTGGATCACCCCACCCCAGGAAACAGTGTTTTCTGTTACTCTGTTACTACTCTACACACTGTTTCCTGTGTCTCGTGTGATGTCGTACGTAATAACGTACTGATTGTTCACTGGCAGCGTTGAGGTGCACCTCGTTTTTCAGCTTGCATTGCATGCTGGCTGGTAGGGGTAGTTGGTGTTCGATTTCTTTTTTCATGTCTATCAGTGGGCTCGGAAGGACACGTCATCAGATGACAGCAACGAACTCTGGGAAAGAACCTGCTGAAACTGCCTGGCACTGGAAGCTGGATACAGTACTCCTAGCAGTGAAGATACCCTTCCTGCCGCGGAGGGAAGCATGGGAAGAAGCATCAAGGGCCTTGTCTGTCCACGGGCTCTGAATTCCGATCCTCTCTAGGCCTGGTGGGCCGGCCTCCGTACGGAGCGGACATGGACGACTGCAGGCAGCAACGCAGGCAGGCAGACGTGGGCGTCCACTCAAAAAAAAAAAAAAAGGTGTGGGCGTGATGATTGCGGGCTGGGGGCGTGATGATTGCGGGCTCACTAAATCGCGAGCGATCACTAGTTTTGAATGTGGCGAACAATATTCAGACAGCGTTGCATGCAGCTCCATTCCCCGCGCTCACCCTGCATGTGCCGACTAAAGCATATACTTCTGACTCGCTGAGCAACAACAACAAGACTATAGGTTGGTTAAAGCAACTTTTTAAACACCTTATTTTTAAGGGAGGCAACTAACGCACGGCCGGCCGTAATATAGACCATCCGGCCTTGCCATTTCTAGTAAAGTGCAATTATTATATTTCTTTTTCAGCAAGGATGCTAATCACGCTGGCTTGTTAACGCGCGGAAGAAAACTATACCCACCGTATGTAAACGAGACTAGTCACGGCTTGCGCGGCCCAAGCCCAAATACCGACCACAGTTTATGGGAAAAAAGCAAATCAGGCCCAAACATACGCTTTTAGGTACTGCATGTATTAAGTTCAAAAAAGGACAACGTATTCAGAAAGTACACATTTGCATCTGCAGTTTTCTACGAGCATAATAATTTGTGTCCATATATACATCTAGTCCCTAGGAAAGCACACATTTCCGCGTCTTCTATGTCCATGGCCTACATCTTGCCTATGTGTATATGGCCTCCTGCATGTTAAAAAGAGGATAACATGTGTCATAAATTTGTTGCTGGATGGATACAAAAAAGATGCATATATTAAAAAATAAAAAATCTTAAGTTGCCTATTTGAGAAGACATCATTGTTCCTGGAGCCTAGGTTGCTGCTGGTAATGCTGTAGTAGATTGCATTTTCTTAAGCAATTTAAGTGTCAATCGTTTGGCAACAATGTCTTCCTAAATAGGCAATTTAGCCTATTCTTACTAGTAAAAAAGAAACAATATTTATCGATCACTGACCAACTCTTTTGTTTAAAGGTACATCACTGTAATTTAGCCTATTCTTACTAGGGAATTTAGTGTTCGTTAGAAACAATTTGTCGATCCCTGAAAGAAACAAATTTATACTTTGAGCTATTATTTATATAGTAGTCACTGACCAACTCTTGCTATTTCAAATTTCCATTGTGTCATTGCTATTATAGATGCATAGTACATGCAAGTCATGATTACTTAAAGGTACATCACTTTATCATGAAATTAAGAACACTGACTGAAACTAAAAAAAATTGCAGACTGAAACTAAAAAAATGCAGGCCGAGTTACAGTAGCTAGCTAGTGAATAAAAATGATTAAATCTTAGTTGAGAGCAAGGAATGATCACATAAGTACATCAATTTCGGTGCACTGAACTGCTGCTGGTAAACTAAAAATTGTAGAGAGAAACATGACGACAGCTGATGTTTTGCAGAACTGCTGCTGCTGCTGCTACAAAATTACCAAACACTCAAACATGCTTTCTAGGAGCCGAAGATTTGCCAGTAACTGAAAATACAGTGTAGATACTAAACTAAAATTTCTAAAATGAAATGGACTGCGTAGTGCAATATAAGTCAAGATTCGAGGTTACACATTTCGTTGAGACACCACTCCAGGGATTTCAGGAGTGAACCATAAGTATAAAAATCTGGGCATGATTAAAAGAATCTAGTTATGCATAAAAACTGAAATAGACGGGTGTAAAAATCAGCCACGAGCCAAAAAACCACAAAATAATCTATACTTCAAAATATTTAGCGTGCAATTTTTAGCTTAAGCAAAACCTGATCTGGTTTGAGAGGGACCATATGTGCATGTTTTAAACTTATTTGAAACCATAAGTTATTCTTTTGAGCCATGGTTTTATTTAGGACTAATCCAACAAAATGATATCAAATGTTCATGTTTCTATTACTAATTCTTTCAGAACATTCTATTTCAACTTGTAATAAAACTATAAAACTTCATGTAACAGTTAGTGCATACGGTTCATAAATTGTTGAATCAATAAGAATATACTTTTAACAAATTCATAATAGATGTTGAACATAACGCATACTAATTCAGTAATGAGGTGTAAAATTTGGATTAACTAAAATCAATGATCAGTTCATTTATTCAAATCCATAAAATGTAAGCGATAGTGAGACTATAAAATGAATAAAAGAAAAGGAATTGACTTCATTTCTCCCGACGGTAATTTTGTCTTTACATGCGCACACATCCATCTATCGCTAACAGATGAGATCCAATGCACCTGCACTGATGGAAGCCTGGAAGCCGGCCTTATCACAAGCCCCCCGGTACTAATTGTCTCTCACTTATCTCCTCCCTCTCTCTCCCCTACGATGCGCTCGCTAGACACCCCTCCACCTCCATCTCCGCCATGGTGGACAGCGAAGACGTTAGCGTCGTGCGTGTCTACGACTTCGACGGCTGCCCCATGGAGTGGTGCGTCCACATCTCCCTCTTCTACAAGGCTGCGACGCCCTTCCACTTCATGCCCCCGAGGCGGCCCCACTTAGTCACCCCGTGCTCCACCTCTCCATTGTCACCCTGTGCCCTGGCGGCGTGGTCTCTGCTCTCTGCTCTGCTTTCCCATTGCACGTCTCCACTTTGGGTGGACATTGGACACCTGTGTCTGTAGTAGCGGAAGTCCTGGTCGTGGTCGAGCAGGGAGCAGCGCGACGCCCACCCTGCTCGCACAGTAGCAGCCACCGGCATTACACCTTGGTGAGAGAAAAGGCCATTCCAATTTCCAATCAAAATCTTTACAGGGTCAAGCAAGCTCAACACTAGCTACACTTAGTAACAGAACATTGGTGCTACGACACTCGAAGAACAATTTTGTCCAAGGTAGCAGCTGGAACTGGAAGTGGAACCTAATGATCAGCTCAGCCCGATCGACCGGACTCGGCGCGAGCACGATCATCACTCATCAGTGGTGGTGGTGGTGATGGTAGTGGTGGTGCATGTCCAGGCCGCCAACGATGTCGGCGAAGTCGGTCTCGGAGGCGCAGGGGATGGTGAGGCCGCCGCAGCGGTGGTCGAAGCCGAACTCATCCTCCACCCGTTTCAGCAGCGTCACGAAGGCCGGGTGGCTGAGGCACGCCGTCGGGATCACCAACCGCTTCCGCCCCTCGCCCACGTACACCGCCAGGTGTCCCCGCGGCACGTCCGCCGCTGCCACCGACGGCGATCGGCTCCTCACCAGGTCCAGCAGGTGTCCCAGCTTCCCCGCCATGATCCCTAGATATGTTGATGATTGCGCAAGTATCTAGTCTGAATGAACAAGATTTCACTAGCTACTGAAGACCGTCTGAGCTGCTGCTAGAGTGCTCTAGTAGATGTTTGCTGTTCAGCTTGCTCAATGAGTGTGAACTGAAGAGCTGTGGGGACCTATGTGAGAGACTGAGGAGCCAAAGTTGCCTTCTTATAGCTCAGACCAGCTCAGTATCAGCATGGAGCCAACGGCAACTTTGGCAGCAGGCAACAACGCCTACCAGATATAGAAAAAAAATTAGGCAATCAAGGTCAAGAATGATGGAAACAGTAGTGGCGCTACTAGCTACTTGCAGTACGTACACTGTAGTAGCAGTAGTACTCCAGTAGCAGTTTCCTGTTGGTGATATGATGATCATCAAGCTGGGCATGTCGATCACATGGTCCACCGTGGCGCACTAATGCAATGTCTCTGAAAATTATCTTCAATTCGCATCATCGACATGATCTTGCTCCTGCAACAGTAGCTAGCTGGCTGCCCTAGCTAGTCGAGTAGACATATGGAGCCAGGGTGCTGCGGGGCAGCATACGGTACGGATGCATTGCACTTTGCACGGTGAGGAGAGGGGCCGACCACGAGTTCACGACGACCATGACCACGGCCACGTCAAGATGAGGCAGCTCTGCCCAGGCGGACGGCGGCCGGTCGGACCATTCTTGGGCAATCACACAACACCAGTGTCCAGTGCGTCTCACTGCACTCATACACTGAGACCAGGGCCTTGTTTAGATCGTAAGTTTTTTCATTCTTTATCACGTCAAATCTTTAGACATATGTATGAAGTATTAAATATAGATAAAAAATAACTAATTACATAGTTTAATTGTAAATTACGAGATGAATCTTTTA